TTTTTTTAAATCAGATTATATACTTGTTCTGTTAGGAAAACAATTGTTTGGTTTTCGCGTTCCGGAAGCCACGCTTCCTCCGCTAGTTTACTCAGCCATTTTTCTTTTTTAGTCGATAATCTTAACAGAAACTAACAGCAGTTAAGACGCATTCAAACCAATTTACATTAAATTACGCAAGACTGTAACAAACCACACACGCTCTTGCCGATCACCGGAATATTAAATGCAAACAAGAATGCAATAGAATATACAAAAAGAATAAACGTTACACGAAAACAAAGAATCCGATTCGATGGATATGGACAGCGTGGTCGCCGGAAAGCGACTGGATCGTAATCCTGCGGTACTGAACAAGTAGATTCACTGTTATCTTCTTAGATACTTATATATTAAATATTAATAATTATAAATTACAATCATCATTAATATTAATATTAAACGTTATCATTAATATTATTACTTTAAATGCATACACAGTTTAAACACCTAGTTTCTCCGACAAAAACAGGATAGATAATAGATGAAAATGGAAGGAAAGAACGCAAGAGATGATTATGATTAAAGAGAGAGAGAGAGAGAGAGAGAGAGAGAGAGAGAGAGAGAGAGAAGGAGAGACGATGAATGATAATTAAAAGTATGTTCGTACAAGTGGAAGTAAAAAGGATAAATCTCGTAGGCAAAAATCGAAGAAAAGAAAAGAAGGGAAACACGAAGAGGGTGACAGAGAGAGTTTGGTCTTGCGGTCCGTAGCTTCGATCCATGATTCTTTGGGTCCTATTTCAAAGGAACTTCTAGGACGACTGTTCCGTAGAAAATACGTGTCTTCCTCGCACATTAGAAGATTCTTCGGTGCTGGGCCGACGCAATAGAAGAAGGTGTGCGACACTCTGCTTTGGCGAGAATTAGAAGGAACTCTTCTGGATCTCGCTTTTCTGACTGGAGAAACAGAGGATAGGCTACTAACTAAACGATTACACGTTACATTTAAATATCCCCTTCTCTTCATACTTCATGGCTGGTCCCTCGCGAGCGTACATTAATTTCGCGGCGAGGCAAAGTACATTTTATCTTGCTCGTTTGATTATCCCGTGATGTCAATCTTTTTCTTTTTCTTTTTTCCAAATTTCAATGAAAAGTAAGTTGAAGGAACAACTTCGATGTCATCGTTAAAATTTTAATCAGATTTTTATGCAAATTCTGTTTTTTGATTCGCAATGGGCCGCACCTTCGAGACCTTATGCTCATACTTGCATCTAAACTCGTTCACTCTCTAACCATCTCCGTAACTCGAACATTCATTCAATTTCTCAAAGAAAAAAAA